GTCAGTCTCATGGGAAAGAGGCAGAGCCCAGCCCCATCCTCCCAGTTTCTCTGTTCTACCACTGAAGAAGGGATGTGTGGAATCAGTCCAGGAAACAATGGATAGAAACAAGGAACGGGAGAGCCAAGTATTCCATCCAAGCAGTAGAAATTGAGGAAGATCCTTGGGAAATTATAAGTTGGTGTCTACTGTGAAGAATCTTAAACCTCTGACTTGGGAGTCTGTACTTAATGTAGTAAATAATAGAGGCATTTGCATATCAAATCATCTCTCCTCGGTAAATGGGACTATGTCAGGTTTATCTAGAATCCAAGGTTTTTCTAAGAACATTAAACACATAAATACAGAAACAAAAGACTAATTGTACAATGATCAGACTCAAATAATGTAAATTCAGTAACACAAAGTGATAACCAGCCATAAACCATTATGTCATCAACAAGTTATGGCATCGACAGGTCATTATCATGACAGGTTACAAYAATTGGCACGTAAGGGCAAAGGCTCTTGAGAATGAACAAAAATGACCATCCCAGACCTTCCAAAGCATGTCATTCACCCTGAGGGACATTTAATTTTTTCTTTTTTAAAAGGCATTTTGCAAGTGTTTTAMGATTATAAAAGTAACACATGCTCATATAGAAAACTTTGAAAATTCAGGAAAGCACAATGTGTATCTGACTTATTTACATCACTTATTGCTCACTATCCTACACAGCTCTTGTTTCCTGCTAAACAGTATTTTTTACAATGTGTGAAGTCTTTCTTCAATTAATTGCCTTATGCACTAGAATAAAGCTTTCTGTTCRCACTAATTACCAGAGATAGTCACACCCATTAGATTGTCAGACTTCCTCTGGTCTTGCCCCTCCATTTAAGAAAGACTCAGCTCTTGCCATATCTGTAATCCCAGCAGCTTGGGAGGCTGAAGCAGGAGGATCACAGGTTTGAGGACAGCCCCAACAATTTAGGAATACCCTATCTCAAAATAAAAATATTTTAAAAGAGCTGGGATGCAGATCAGTGGTAGAACATTCCTGGGTTCAATCCCCAGTACAGGGGAAAAAAAAGGTCAGGGGAGAAAGAAAGGCTCATCTCACAATTGGCCCTTGCGTGCCAGTTGTTGTAACCTGTCATGATAATGACCTGTCGATGCCATACCTTGTTGATGACATAATGGCTTGTGGCTGATTATCACTTTGTGTTACTGAATTTACAGGCTCATCTCTTCCCCTGAAAGAATTTTATGTATAGCTCTACCCTGAGTACCTAGCACAGTAACATAGGAACTTTCTTTTATTCAACTGCCCCATATCTAATGTTAAAAAGTAAGAAATATCAAAGYATTTCCCTTAGATTTACATTTAATTAATAGGCTTCTTATGGTGAAGAGAAATGTTAAATACATAAGCATAAAGGTAATCTGTGGATCAATTACTAGAAGCTAGTGAAATAACAACCCTTGCTTGTCAGAATGGGGTCCTCCCAAGAAGCAGTCATAGCTCTAGTTAACTTTTTGACTTTTGCCTCCCTGGTCAKCATTCATTTACTGAGCACCTACTGTGTACCTTTGCGATCACAAGAGAGATACAAGACAGCTTCTATCTATGAGGAAAAAAGGACATTTCAGTGGAAAATCCTCAGATGAGAATAAGACAGTTTAAGTGACACGAGACTGCTAGAATCTCCTAGGAATTCAGAGTTTCAAGCTCTTTCCTGACCRAGGGGATCTGGTGTTGGACCTGTCTCATTTACTTGTGAAATTGTGTGTGCATGCGAGTGCAGGGTCCAGGGTGGGGGTTGCAAATGAAAGAGCTGAAAAGAAAGAGTGTGAACCCACAGTTGAAAGAGCAGAATAGCAGAGTAGACACTGACTTTATTCCCTCTATGATTTGGAACCATTAATCAGTCAGCGAATGTTTCTTGATCAAATCTGCTCCGTGGTCGGGCCTGTGACAGATACCTCGAGATGCAAAAGAAAAACAAAGCACAGTTCCTTGCATGCCGCTTGCATGATGACATAGCTTTCCAGATGGAATTTAAATTCAAAGAGGATTTATTAAGAGCAAAACAAAACCAGCCACAATGACAAAGTTCATGAGGGGGAATTTTGGGATTACTTATTGCTGTGTGACAAACTATCCCAAAGGTTAAAAGACTTAAAACAGCAATTATTACTTATTAGCAATTCTGCACTTGGCCGTGTGTGTGATGGAACAGYGGCTCTTTCTCAGGCCATGTCAGCTGGAGCAGCTTGAATGACAGGGCCTGGCTGGATCAGCCCACCTGCTCCGCGGTTCTGGGCCTCAGAGATTGTTGTGGACCAGGTTCCTCCTTCACACAGGGATCTCTGACATTCTCCTCTGTGGCTGGTGATTTGGCTTCTTATGCGGTGGTTGGCTTCCCCCAGAGCGCAAGAGGAAGCAGCCAGCATGGTGGCCCTTTCTTCACATTCTAAGGGGTAAGACAGTCACAGGACTCACCTGAGTTCAGGGGAGAGGACTGCACAGGGGCATGAATATCAGGAGGTTTGGTTCACTGCAAGGGAAAAAAATGGCTGCCATGGAATCTTGAAGTTAAATCATCCAACAGCAAATTAAATCCACTAAAGGACACTAACTGCCTAGATTTTTCAACTTGAGAATAGGTAAGTCCATCCACCTTCCCCCACCCCCACCTTTTTGAGTGCCAGCAAATTCAGATGTGTCTCATGCCACTTACTGATCGCTTCAGAAAACCACATCAGATTTTTAAATCAACGTTGCAAGGTAGTTTAAACATGCCAACATCTGGGGAAGGAGAGGGATCACAGCTTAGGCCCTTCCCACCTGCTCCCGAGCCTCACTCCTAGGAGGTCCTGCTRTCACTCCACCTTCAAGACAGGAAGAAAGAAGCTCCACTGAGAGTTGGCACTTGCTGCCCTGTCTGCCACCTCCACATCTTGTCTCCCAGAATGCTCCAGTGCACCCTCAACTCTCAGAGCCGGAGATCTGGGAGAAAGGGCCGGAAACTGAGTTCCTGGTTCTCAGAGTGCCACTTTAGATCCTTCTGTAGTTTTTATGACCTTCTCCTGATTTCCCTCTTGGTGATCTTTCRATTTCCAAAACTGAACACAGTGTTCCGGGCATGACCAGTACTGCATGCAGTGGTGGTATCAGAATAACCGCAGGGGAAGCTTGGGAACCAGTCGAGTTGATGGAAAGCAGAGAAGCTAAGCATTTTTCCCCTCTGAAATTATGTTGCCCAAATTTGGAAAAGAAAATGAAACAAAAATCATGTTGCCCAGGCTGGTCCTGAACTCGGATGTTCAAATGATCTTCTTGCCTCAGCCTCCCAAATAGCTGGGACTACAGGTTTGCACCACCAAACCCAACTGGAACTTTTTATAAGAGTGATGTGATCCCTCAGATAACTAGGATTGGTCACCAAACCATTGGCATTTCAGTCAAGAAGTGATTAGTGATGAGCACTTAGCTCATTTAAATGAATAAGAATGTAAATCAGGTATCACAGCAGCAGTTAACTGTGTTTAATAGAGGAGCAGAGATGAGGGTTTTTATTTTATTTTTATCTGTTTTGTTTTAATTTATTAATTTGTTCTATTCATGATAGCAGAATGCTCTTCGATTCATTGTACACAAATGGAGCACAATGTTTGACTTCTCTGTTTGTAAGGTCACACCATTCATGCAATTATACATGTACCTAGGGTAATGATGTTCGTCTCATTCCACCATCTTTCCTACCCCCATGTCCTTTCCCCCCTCCCCTTTACCACATCCAAAGTTTGTCCACTCATCCCTTGCCCCCTGCCCCATTATGGATCAGCATCCACTTATCAGAGAGAACACTCCGGCCTTTGGTTTTTTGGGTTTGGCTTACTTTGCTTAGCATAATATTCTCTAACTCCATCCATTTACCTGCAAATGCCATAATTTTATTCTCTTTTATTGTTGAGTAATATTCCATTGCGTATATATGCCACAGTTTCATTATCCATTCATCTACTGAAGGGCATCTAGGTTGGTTCCACAGTTTGGCTATTGTGAATTGTGCTGCTATGAACATTGATGTGGCTGTGACACTGTAGTATGCTGATTTTAAGTCCTTTGGGTATAGACCAAGGAGTGGGATAGCTGGGTCAAACAGTGGTTCCATTCCCAGTTTTCTAAGGAATCTCCATACTACTTTCCAGATTGGCTGCACAAATTTGCAGTCCCACCAGCAATGTATGAGCGTGCCTTTTCCCCCCACACCTTCGCCAACATTTATTGTTGTTTGTATTCTTAATAACTGCCATTCTGACTGGAGTGAGATGAAATATTAGAGTAATCTTTATTTATATTTCTCTAATTACTAGAAATGTTGAACATTTTTTTCATATATTTGTTGATCGATTGTATATCTTCTTCTGAGAAGTGTCCGTTCAGCTCCTTAGCCCATTTATTGATTGGATTGTTTTATTTTTTGGAATTAAGTTTTTTGAGTTCTTTATATATTCTGGAGATTAGTGCTGTATCTGACATGCATGTGGCAAAAATTTGCTCCCAAAATGTAGGCTCTCTGTTCACCTCATTGATCATTTCTTTTGCTTAGAAGAAGCTTTTTAGTTTGAATCCATTGTTTTGTTTTTGGTACTAAGGATTGGACCCAGGGGCACTTAACCACTGAGCTACATCCACAGCCTTTTTTCTATTTTATTTAGAGACGGGGTTTCACTAATTTGCTTAGGACCTTACTGAGTTGCTGAGGCTGGCTTTGAACTCATGATCCTCCTGTCTCAGCCTCTCAAGCTGCTTGGATTATAGGAGTGTGCTGAGATTTTTCCTGTTTGTTCTGCCTTTCACCATCAAAGTTTCCCTGAAAAGTAACTKCACACAGGCTCCAGAAATCAGACCGTATGGATTTGAATTCTGGCTCCACTGATTGTCTTGGGCAAGTTACTTACTTTTCCCATGCCTTAGTTTTCTCATTATAAGCTGAGAACAATAATAGTACCTATCTCATAGGGTTGATATAGATATTAAATAATAATTGAAAAAAGTTCTTAGTGTCGGATAAATTGTAAACACTCCCAATAAATGTTACTGTTTTATTCCATAAGTTATCAGCCTGARGATTTTCAACACATACTTCATAGATTTTTTTTCTCTTCACTAGTTCTTTTTAAAGATATCTTGAAGGCCATGCCATAAAAAGACCATGAAAAACTAAAGATACCCTGCAAGCTATTTTCTTGGTATCTTGGCCAATTTTAAATAAGTCTTGGCAAGAAAAAGCATCAATAGCAAATAGTGAAATATCAATAGCAAATACACTTTTWAAAAAATTAAGGTAACCATTTTTCCGCTAAGCTCAGAAGTTTCATATTAGAGATACAAGATGTTTGGCAGCAACGAACTTAAGAAGGAAATAGCTGAGAAATAAGCACTAAACAAAACTGCATATACTTTATGTGTTTTTAGGGAAATATTCTCTCATTAAATTTGTTTGGGAGAAGATGAGATATGTGAAAGCAATTTAGAATTTTACTTTGGGTATAATTATGCAATTCCACGGTATTACTTTTGTCCCCATCTGTTCTCCTGACATCCTCTTTTCTAGCAGAAGAGGCATCCAATGAGACAAAACAGAGGGAACACAAGGGCCCCCGCAGGACACTCGTGTGGGACCATTCTCCTGCCTTTCCCGCTTACAGAATTTTATTTGCGTAGAAGAACTGCAGGAGCTCTGGATGATAGTGACTCTGAAAGAAATTAGCAAAGGTACATGTGAGGGAGGGACTCAGTAAACCTCCTAGATATAACTAGTGGACAGCTGCAGATTCAGGGCACTGGGATAGGCAATAGGAGAGTAGGCAGCATCACCTGCACTTAGCTAATGACCTGAATTGGAACTGCCCTGACACTGTGTGCCTAACTCCCAGGTGTTCACCACTTACATACACAGCATCATGAGTCAATCACAATTGGATAATTGGTCTGAGACATTTTATGGGTGGATAACTCCCTCATGTGCTTGGCCACCTTTGTCTTAAACACTGGGAGGGCTGGGACTGAGGAGAATTTTCTCCTGCCCTGGCTCGCTCACCAGCTGCCTGGAGAGTTTGGGATTCCTTTGATCTTCTTCTGTCCGGAAGCTGTTTTCGTTTCTCAGTTTCAGATACGGAGAACAGGCTCGAAAAGTTGTTTTGCAAGCCTGAGGGGAAAAAAATATGACCATCCTATTGGCAAAAATATCAGAATTCTAGAATCCCAAGCAGGGAAGGGTATCCCAAAGAAGTGGACCCAATCTATGGTCAAGGCCACTACACTACAATGTGAAAGTGACTTTACAGGTAGTTTACAGACTTGAACTTACTTACTTATGCTTGTGAAATGCCATGCCTATAATCAGGGGCTGGTGGGGAGGGGACAGCATTGCTTGGGAGTTTACATAATACTTGTCATGGGAACCCTGAATGCTGAATTCAATATCTCCCCCCCCCCCTCTCAACACAAATGGTTTCAAAACTCTTTGCTCCCAGTTTTGAAACATTCACCCAGGCCTGAGGTTGATCCAACCTTGTTAGGGCACATTTTCTCCAAGAGCAAAACAGTTCCATAGGGATTCTTTAACAGGTGCAGTGACAGTCACTAATTGTGTGAATAGATATGTGAATAGATATCCTCATTACATGAACCTAAACCTGCACCCTCTGCCCACCCACCCTGAACCTGAGCTCATCTGGCCTTGACAGGCACTAACATGGGCAGGTGGGGCAGGAAAACATCTTTGTTTGGGAAAGGATGACATGTTGGGGAGGCAAGTTCTTCAGGATTCATGGGGACACGCTGCTAGTTTCATAAGGGCATTGACAAGAACATGGAGAATCGTGGTCTTACTGTGGCAACCTGTGGGTTTCTGTCCTGTAAATGGATCAGGAGGGAATCTCGTGTCTGCTTAACCTGACGGGCGAAAAACTTCTTCCATTTCCACCCAGCAAAGGCCGCCAGTTGCCCGAGCAAGACAAAGGCCAAGTATCTCATGCTGTCGTTCTCCTGCAGGTTCCCATCAACAAAACAAAAAGAGGCAGGTCACCACCAAGAGACAAAAGTGTCAGAGCACATGGCTCCCACCACAGCCATCATTCCCGCATGGACATCACAGGGTGGGCCTCCAGACACAGAGCTCTTCCCCTCTCTTTTACATTAATGGACAGACACTAACTGGTGTCGTGCACCTTGGTTTTACTACCAATCTATATAGGAGCTCTTTCCACCTAAACACAAAAGGAATTTTCATACTTTTTCTCTTTTCTTTTGCTTTATTGCATCATGATTCACTTGATCAGTCTCCTGTTACTTCTAGCATTTCCCCAGGTCAGCTCTCTCTCCTTTTTTTTTGGTACTGAGAATTGAACTCAGGGTTGCTTAACCACTGAGCCACATCCTCAGCCCTTTTAACTTTTTTTTTTTTTTGAGACAAGTTCTCACTAAGTTGCTTACAGCCTCGCTAAATTGCCAAGGCTGGCTTTGAACTTGAGATTCTCCTGCCTCAGCCTCCTAAATGGGCTGAGATTATAGGCATGCGCCACTGCACCCAAGTAGGTCACCTCTCTCTACTTTTGGTCTGAGTTCCTTCTACTGTAGTGGAAATAAGGATTGTGTTTCCCCCACCACAACCACCACTCTCTTCTTTTACTCTGATGAGTTGGCTCCTCCCTGAGCACAGGTGAGCGGACTCAGCCCTCCCTTTATCTCCTTTGTGAGCTGTTGGCCCCATGTGTCTCTCTTTCCAGATGAGAAGTCCAGGGCCCAGGGCATTTCAGTGACTTTCCCAGAGTCACACTGTCAGGTAACAGAGCCAGCATAGGATGCCAACCATTTGACTTTAGTGCACAGATTTTTATATCAGTGCTTCATGGTTCTGTTCAGCTCCAAATAAACCAGAAGGAACAAGGCCAGTGTGGGCCACAACAGGAAGCAAGGAGCACCTAGAACTGGGGTCACAAAGACTCAGCAAGACTGAGTACCACTGACCGTTTTGTGAAATATTTAAATATATATTTTATATATTTTAATATACAAATATATTTATATATTCTTCATATATTTTAACATATATGTACTTTTCTATATTATAATAAATATAAATTGTATATTTWAAAATATACATTTAGTGCTGGGTACAGTGGCGCACACCTGTAATCCCAGTGGCTCAGAAGACTGAGGCAGGAGGATCACAAGTTGTAAGCCAGCCTCAGAAACTTAGAGAGCCTTAAGCAACTTAGAGAGACCCTATCACTAAATAAAATATTATAAAAGGGCTGGGGATGTAGTTCAGTGGTTAAGCAACCCTGGGTTCTATCCCCAGTGCCAAAAATAAATAAATAAATAAATAAGTTTAAAAATATATATATTTAGCATATGTGACATATACAGAATTACCTCAAGGTTGCTATTTTGTTCACTGCCCTATCGGGGGTGAATGCACCCCTTCCAAAGCCCTCCCCTATTGCCCAGATAGACAGGAATGCATAAGACAGGTGCATGTCCCCCAGGAGTCTGCCAATCATCCAATGGGGACACAGGCACTAAAATAAAGCAGGCAGCAAAGAACGCCGACTGTGACAGAGATATAAACTTTCAGCAAGGAACTCAGCAAGAGAATTTCCTCAGGATACATGGCCAAGGATTTCTCACCAAAAATCGCAGGCAAGGTGGGTTTTAAAAAGCTGCTCAATCCAAAATAAACCTTGGGTTGTGGTTGTGATTCAGTGGTAGAGTGCTTGCCTAGCACGTGTGAGGCCGTGAGTTTGATCCTCAGCACCACATAAAAAAAGATAAATAAATAAAAAAGGTATTGTGTCCATCTAAAAAAAAAAAAAGAGAAAGGAAGGAAGGAAGGGAGGGAGGGAAGGAAAATGAGCCTGAAGTTCAGATGACTCCTCTAGAGAGATTTATTGCCACATTTGCTGGCATTGCAGGGTGGTGAGCTAAAGACCCTCCTCTCCCTTCCTCAGGGAGGTCTGGTGTATATTCAAGAGCAAAAATCTGTCTCWCTCTGAAAGAAGGTGGGACAACTACACCAGCAGCTTCTATATAAGCTGCAAGCTTCATAATCTCACGGTCTCTGTTGCTCTCATGTGGGGCTGGCACCCCTGCTTGCTCTGTGCGGCTTCCTRGGGAACTAGGGTGTGACAAACTGAGGCGAGTGGCTCTGGGAGCAAATAAAAGGCCTGTTCCCCATTCAACAGGTCTTGCCTTTCAGAGAGGTAAGAATAACTGCAGCAGGCTGACTCACTGCTGGAAAACTAAGGCTCTTGGACTCCTTTCCCATGGTTCAGACTAAATGCTGTCCCAGCACAATTCTTGCTTGGTGTCTTTTCATCTGGTAGTTACCAGGGCAGGGGCTGCAGCCAGAGAGCTGGCTTTTCCTATCCCCTGACAGGCTCTGMAAAGCTTGGGCAGGTTCCAACCTTTCTGTGCCTTGGCTTCCTCATCCATAAAGTGAGGATAATTACAGTGCCTCCCTCACAGGATGACTGCAAAGACTACAGAAGATGCTCCATGTAAATGGCCTTGCACCATACGTGGCACACAGGAAGGGCTCACTAGGTGTGACTATTGTCATTCTTACATGTAGGAGGAAGTGCTGACTACACGCTGCTCACTGTCATCAGCATACAATATTCACTCCTCTATTAAGATGAAAACTCCTTAAGGAGTAGTGATGGAATACCACATCTTTTATGACTTTCTTAACCAGCATACAGTATGGTATTAGTCTCTGAACAAGATTCATTAATGTTATGGTTTGGATCTGAAGCATCMCTAAAGGCTCATGTGTTGAAGGCTTGGCCCCCAAAGCAGCAGTGTTTAGAGGTGGGACTTTGGAGCCCTGATCTCATCAATGGATTAATCCATGAAGGGATTCATAGCTGGATGGCATTACTGGAAAGTGGTGGAAACTGAAAGAAGTGGGGTCTAATTGGAAGAAGCAGGTCACTAGAAGCATGACCTRGAAGGATATATCTTGTCCCCAGTCCTTTTCTTGCTCTCTTTCTCTCTCCTTCCCATGCATCCCAGCTGCCATGGGTGAGCACTTTTCCTTCACCATGTCCTTCCACCATGATGGTCCACCTCACCTCAGGTCCAAAGCAATGGAGCCAGCCAACCATGGACTGGAACTTCTAAAAGTGCGAGCCATAATGAATCTTTCCTCCTTTAAGTTGTTTATGTCAGGTATTTGTTCTCCGCAATGAACAGTGACTAGTACAATGAATGAATAAGTGAATTATATAGACCTTATTTCCTGAGCAACAAACTACCCAGGGCTGTCACTGCTAATCTCACTTTGATTTTAATACCCCCCCAATTTTTATGAGTTGTGTCACTTACATCATCCAATAAAGTCCTGATCTGAAGCGTGATGTCTACGAAGAAGGAGCCCAAACCTTTGCCCTGAATCTTGCCCAGGATGATGGTCAGTGTCTTCATACTCTCGTGGATGACTTCAGAACTCACGGGGTCATACAATCCATGCACCAGCAGATCTAGCATAATTTTCTTGTGTTTTCTCACCTGTTATCAAGGTTTGAAGACATTACTAAGCAYGGAAATTGCTCTCCCTAAGTCCAAAACCAACTCCACTTCTAATCTTCCAGTAACCTAAGACTTGGAGTGAGAGACTCTGGCTTTCTCTAGGGTCTGCTGCAACTCTCATCAAGATGCCAGGGCTTCTATTAGCCCAACCCAGGAGCCCAACTCAGTCTTGGAAGGACAGAAAGARCAAGCTAGAGGTGGCCTCTGGGTAGGTGAGATGAGTAGGATACTTCAGGAGGGTGGTGGACCAGGGTGACTCAGAGGTCTGAGGAGGATTAGGTACCTTCATGAAGAGGAGGACTTGAAATGGCTACTGAAGTTGACACATACTAAAGAAATAGGAGTGAAAGGGAGCTTTTACTTAAAAAAAAAAAAAAAAAAAAAAAAAAAAACATGAGGAAGTCATTGGAATTCCCAAGGAAGATGATGTTGGCATATAACGGTCCTGCCTGTAGCTACTGCCCGTGGTTGGAGATGCTGAAATGACCCTGAATGAGCCATGCCCTTGAACTATCTGCTCTTCCCGGGTGTGGAAGGGAAATGTGACTTGTCAATATTAACAGAATGTGACAAAGGTCACAGGATGACACTCACATGGCTACTTTACATTATGCGACATTCCACTGTGGCAGACAGGAGTAATACCCTCCTGCTGGCCTTGAAGAATAAAGCTGCCACCTGTGAGAAGGTGGCCTCAGGGCACTGGGACTGGCCCCCAGAGGACAGCCAGCCAGAGGACAGAAATCTCAGTCCTAGAATTGGAAAAGCCAAATTGTACCAAAACCACCTAAGCTTGGAAGAGGACCCTGAGCTTCAGAAGGACACAGTCCAGCCTGTGGGGTCCCGGCCTTGCAAGACCCTGAATGGGGGACCCAGGTGAGCTGTCCCCAGACCCCTGGTCCACAGACACTATGAATAACTATCACATGTTGCTTTATGCTGCTAAGTCTGGTGGTTTGTTAGAGGGAAATGGTACTAGTCCAGGGGGTACCCCACTCAAGCCTGGGCACCACCCACGAGGGCTGGAGGGTTTGGGGACTCAGCTCCACATCCTTCCTCACCTGGTCAGGGGCTTCACAAGCCATGGTGCCCAGGCCTCTCATTGCCAGGTGGCGCTTTTTCGCATTGGGGTCCCGAGCTCTTTCTGCCAAGATGAAAAACACATTCTTTGAAGACTCCTGCTTCTGGAACTTGAATTTCCAAGAGACCTGGGAGGTAGATCAAAAGTGTGTTAATTGGGAGTGTTCGGAGTCATGCTCTGAACCCAGCCCCATTCTCTCCCTCTAAAGAAAATTCTCCTGTCATTGCCTGCTTGGTTTTGCTCTTCTTTATCCAACTAAAGATACTGGTGTGTGTGTGTGTGTGTGTGTGTGTGTGTGTGTGTGTGTGTGTGTGAGTGTTTTAACAGGGATCAAATCCGGGGCTATGTTAAGCATATATTGTATCACTGAGCTGCACCCCAGCCCCTATAAATGTCTAATTTTTGTTGGAGATATATTAATTTGATCTATATAATGAAGAAATTAAAGGGGGGAAATGAGAGGGGGAAGTGAACTAATGCAGGCTGGTGTTGAGCTGTGTTTGGGGGGGATTATGGAGAGAGATGCTCAATAGCTGTGAAGAGGGTGACAAGTTGAAAAGAAAGGGACTTTAGAAAGGTTGATGTGGGCTGAGAATACACATCCCTTTCAAAGTACAGATTGGTATTTCACTCACTTTGAAGAGTTCCCTAACCCTCTCCCTCCAGCCCCTCCCCATCTTTCTGCTCCACTTTGTAGCTTAACACCTCCAATGACATGTCTCTATGGTGCGTGCTTCCCTGCTTCCTCTCCTGTTCTGTTCTGAACGCTCAGCAATTGGGCTGATGTTCCCCCGCTCCATCCCTTCACGTGGCTCATTCCCAGGGTCCATTCTCAGCAGTCCCCTTAAGCTCGTAATAGCATGTGACACAACTGGCAAAGCACATCCACAAAAATCTGTTACACATCTACAAACATTTCAGGGTACTTGAAGGCTGTCCCAACTCAGGAATGCATGCATCTGAGCAATTAAGACTGGGAACAGGAATGCATGAATAACGCAAATTGGGGAACACTGTGTGTCTGATGCAGAAAACTTCAAAGCCCTAACTCTAAGTGACTGCAGGGGCAAGAGATGGGGCAAGAGATGGATGCCCCCTGTAGTGAGCAGTTGAACTCTGATGCCAGGAAGGCCCTGCTGTTCTTTAGAATGCAGAACAGACAGTATTAAAGTCAGAATCCAGACAATGAAAGATCCAGATAAGATCAATGACAAAAGCCACTGCCCTCCCCCCACCATCCTGTGAGTGTGTGTGTGTGTGTGTGTGTGTGTGTGTGTGTGTTAGGAGGGAGGGTTTGGATCCAGGTCTCTTGCCATAGTGCTATTGATGAGATTTAGTAATATGCAAGCTTCATGGTTATTTCTGAATATTTATCTTGGTTCATTCTATATTTTTACTATTGGGTTAGCAGCAAGTTAAATCCCTCTTAACTTATCTTCTTGTCTTCCCATAAATATTCTACCTATATTAAAAGAATTCACATCCATTTTTTTTTCTTTCCAGAAAGAACTTCAAAATGGCTTTTGGGAGGGAACATTTAAACATGCATGATATTTGGGATCAGACCTTGGAAAAGAAAGCTATCATTGATGTCATTTTCCTCTTGGGCTGGGAAGGAGGTACAGAAGAAGGCTGGTCCGGGGTACTCTGTGTTTGGTCCATGGAACTAAAAGAAGAAGAAGAGAAAAGCCAAGATCATCACATGAGCTACAAACCCCTCCAAAGCCTCATCATTGATAAACACTGCAAAGGGCTTTTCCAGGGAGGATAGGAAAAGGTGACAACCCCAGGCCTGTCCTTAGGGACCTTTACCTTGGTGAGGAGWCAGAGAGTCACATAAAAAGTGAAAGAGCAATCCCAGGCAGCCCAAGAGGAGTAGCAGCTTGGGGCTCAGGGCCCACACCCTGGCTCCCATTCCATCCTGCAGACTTCTTGTCTCACAATCACCCAAGAAATAAAATTCAGATTCCTGAGCTCCACCCACAGAATCCTTGAGAGTTGAAATCAAGAGTGGCCTCATATTTTGTGTTTTTAAAGCTCCCCAAAAATGTCAATAGGTACTTTTTTTTTTTTGGAAGGGATCTTGATACTCTTTACTGTTTTAAAATAGACATACTCTTTTGCTCAGCAATTCTTTATTCTTACAGAATTAGCACATCACATAAAGGACAGCCAACATAGCACTGTAACAAACAAAAATGTGTCTTTCCATGATTATAATTTAAGTAAACTACATCTAATTACACCTGTACAACTCTTTGATGACTACTATGTATGCAGTCATTTATTGGGCATATCTACATGTGCCAAAATTCTCTCCAAAACAGGTTGTTGAGTGAAAAGTGAAAATCAATGTGTACAGTATGTTACCATCTGTRTAAAATCAAATTGAGAGAAATACTGATTACATTGTGTTTGCATCTGCATAAAACAGAAGACCCAGGAAACCTAACAAAGATCGCCACTGTGGTGGAAATTCACTCCCTAAGCTCCAGTCCTACTTTCTCCATCTGTCATCTCTGGTCGATGGACCTRTCTGCAACCATTGTGATAGGAACCCAGATAAAAACCTAGAAAATTATACCACCACCACCACTCCAGGTAGAAAGTTCTTCTCTTTTCATCAGGTAGCTGGCTGAACTAAGATTCTCTTTGTCAGAGTTGACAGCATTCCCRTAGGCCTTTGTTAAACAGTGGTTCTCACATTTGAGCATGCATAAGAAATCACCTGGCAGATGTGCTAAACATGCATTCCCAGGCCAGATCCCCAGAGTCTCTGACTGTGCACCTGGAGCAGATAGCTAAAAAATATGATTTCTAGCAGACTCCTAGGTGAGACTGATACCAGGATGCAGCTGGCTTGGGTACCACACTTRAGAGCCACTGAATTAAGAGAAAGAAACCAAAGCAGCACAGGGTCACTTCCCCCTAGAATAAAGGGTTATAAACTTATATTGAGGCAGAAAGAAAGGAAAACCCCACAACAATAAAGAAAAACATGTTAGATATTTTTCTTTCTGGGGTTTTCTTTGACCTTATGTTCCAGTAGAACTTGCTACCTCTCAAGAGGAATGCTCTGAATCAGACCCAACAGATGCCTGACAATGAGTATGTTCAGTTTAAAAGAAGCCCAAATCCTGCAGGCTGGGAGCCTGCTCACTGAGAAGGGCATCAGCCTCATTGTAAACCAGCTGGTGTCGGTGTTCCAAGCCACAAGAAACCAGGCCTGAGCTCCTCCCCATTGGGAAGGACAACAACCTGCTCCTTCATTTTTTTATGCTTGACTTTTCTTGCAAGTTAGCAAAGCAGTTAAGGGTTCTAGCCAGCCAGGGCCGGGGCGGGGGTGGGGGTGGGTCGGTCCCAGGCCTAAAAAACCAAGCAGCCAGTCTGGCCTTAATAGTCAGGTCTAGAGTTCAAGAATGTGGAAGGCTCTCAATCAGGGCAAAGGGAGGGACAGCTGAGCTTCATGGAAGTTTCAGGATATGTGGTCAGAGAGACACACACAGGCTCCATTTCCAGCTCACACCTGTCCCAGCAAAACCTTCCTCACCTGCCCACCTCCCTATYGCAAAACAACCGTGCTCTCATTTAACCTCACAGTTGTCTCCCAGAGCTCATCTTGATCTCTGGTGAAAAATCAAAAGCATTTCTTGCAGTGTTGAGGGAATCTCCTATGTCAGAATTCCGTGGTACATGTTATAAACTGCAAGACTTCTCCAGAATTACTGGACAGAATCTTGGTGTGCATTGGGCCAGAGAACTGCACTTTTTGCACAAAGTTACATATGCTGGTATATAAAAACCTCTGAGCTGGAAAATAATCCCAGGATTGGCATACCCCATAAAGCCACATATCATGAGAGAACCCAGAATGGAGGAGCAGGGGTAAGAGAGAAGCACATCGATGTCTTTGCAAAGAACTAAGGATTGATAGGATAGCATGCTTGTGAGGCAATGAATTTCACTGTTGCTATAGTTGGAATACAGTTTGTCCCTTCCAAAACTCATGTTGAAATTTAATCCTCATTATGAGAGAGTAAGAGGTGGGACCTCTAATGGGTGATTAAGGCTCTGCCCTCCTGAGATTAGCCTACTCATGCAATTAAAGGATTAATAGGTTATCTCCAGAGTGGGTCTGCTATGACGTTTAGTTTGGCTTGGTCTCTTCTGTTCACCTTGTCTCACCGTGGGTTGTCCTACACCAGCTCGGGACTCTGTCAGCAAGGACGCCATCATTTGATGTGATCCCTTAACCTTGGACCAGAATTGTGAGCCAAAATAAGCCTCTTTGCTTTATAATGTACCCAATCTGTGGTACTGTGTAATTAGCAACAGAAAATTGACTAAGATGACTGTCAAAATAAAATTAAAAGCATAGCAGGGGCTGGGGGTGCAGCTTAGTGGTGGAGTACAAGCTTAGCAGGTGTGAGGCACTGGGTTCCATCCCCAGCACCACCACCAACAAAAACACAGGGAGATGTGCAACCATGATTGGTACTTTGCTAGAATGCTATTCTTAAATTTTCTTAAAAAAAAAAAAAATTAGAAGGTAAATGAGAGTCACAAGGCCTTGCCTGGAGCTTGGTGTTYTCAGACTTGCAGTTTTTAAAAGAACACCCATCACCCACACACACCCCTACTGCAGTGTCTTTGCCTTTCAACCAGTTGCATCCTTTACACCTAATCCAACCAAAACAAAAGGATCATTCCCATCTGTTACAACACAGGATCTGAGAGAGGAATGTTTAAACACACACAAAAATGAACACAGTACACAGATTCCAAGATTTCTTAGGCATTCTGACTCTTTCTAGAAGCCCACTCGCCCCTTAGCAGTGGTTCTTCCTATTAGAAGGAGGCTGTTCTGTTGGGTTTCCAAAGCAGACACAGATGCAGAGCATACTGTGACCAAAACTTTGTTCATCCCTGTGTACATTGTTCAACTAATCCTTCTTCCTCTGGAAGACATTCCCTGTGTGTACTATGCCCAGACCCTTGGTTTTTACCACCCGGGAGGCCCTGGGGCTTGGCTTCATCACCATGCCTTGGTCCTACCTGGTCTTACTGAAAAGACATAGATTTGAAGTACCATAGAAGACTGTTTTTTGCTTCATGCCGACTCCCAGATGCCTTTGCAAACTTAAATCCTTCTGAATCAAAATATTAGGTTTATGATCAATAATCCTTTTACTCATTGAAGCCAAAAGGTATATGTTGAAGGCAAAATTTTAAACACTTGGATCTTTTCTCATCTGTAAAATTTTGAAGAAAAGAAACAGATTTCTAGCCATCCTTGCAACTCTGAGCTTATTAATAACAATAGGAATAAGTTACCAGCTATTAAACACTTTCACATGCAAGGCACTAGGTTAAACACTTTATATAGGTAGAGTGCAGGGGAAGCTGATTAAGCTGACCTCTACTGAACCAACCTGGAGGGCTAACTGTGATTCTCCAGGCTGCCTGGGAACTTTACCAACTATTGCTGCTGTGGCCCCACAGTAGTTTCATGTTTATCAAGAATTAGTTTGTAACAATGTACTTGTTACTGTCACTGTGAAATTTTATTTGTCTGTTTGTTTGTGTTTTATTTTGCAGTGCTGGGGATGGAACCCAGGGCCCTGTGCATACTGGTTAAGCACTCCACCACTGAGCTACATCCTCAGCCTTGCAGCTGTGAAATTTAATTAAATATAAACTAACAAAATATGAGTACACAAGAAAAGGAAGTTGTTTCTCTGAATGCAAGGTTGAATGTTTTAGGAGGATTTCATAACGGGAAGCTGCTAAAATACTGTTGTCTAATTAGATATGTGAAGAGTAAAAGTTTTGGAAGTATATAATCATTTGGTATGATTTTCGGAACTGACATGATTCTATAGAAAGTGACTTTACAAGTGCCTTCCCAAGTGTATAAATTCTTGCTACATTTAAAGAAACTAAAGCTAGAACTCACAGATAAAGTATTATGCATATAGTTTATGCAAGAAAGACAATGCAGAAATGCCAACTAGTGGATTCATATTCAAAGAAAAGACCATGGCCCTGTATTAAAAATAAATTTTACAGTTTAAGTAAAATACGTAAACTATTTACCATCTTTTATGATTCTCTTCTTTAATCAACTTCTTAATTAATTCTGTGAAATCCAGTCCCAATATCTCAAATAAGAGAACTTTTCTTTTCTTTCTTTCMTTCCTTCCTTCCCTCCTTCCTTCTTTCCTTCCTTTCTTCCTTCTTTCTTTGGGTACTGGAGACTGAACTCTRTACTACTGAGTTACATCCCCAGTCTCTTTTATTCTGAAACAGGATCTTGTGAAGAAGCCCARGCTGGCCTGGAACTTGTCAYACTCGTGCCTCAGCTACCCATTAACTGGGATTTATAAGTGTGCATCACCATGCTCGCCTTTAAATAAGAGATCTTTTATGATATTTCATTTAATCCTCACAATCCTTGAAAATTGTGTATAATTATTTATTTTAGAGAAGAAACRGGCTTAGAATAACATTAAACAACTCACCCAAAGTCAAATATAGCAGAGTTCAAGACTTCAAAATCTATACTGTTTTTCCCTTTCTGGATGACAAAATCTATACTTCTGTTTTAAGTCTGTATTCGGCTCCTAGACAACCTGTGCACTGACCACCTAAGTGTGTAGACCCTTCAATTTGAAGCATTGACGCCTTCCCACCAGTCCCTCCCACTCTAATGCTCTTTGTTGACAAYAATCTATAATTTGTGAAAAGAGAAAAACAAATCTGTTTCATGGTCAATATTGTTCACTTGGGTTTTCCAACGAGAACATCCCAGATAGCTACTTCCTTAGGATTCCACTCCCTCTGACACTGTAACCGCAGTGAAATTCCAGGAAGGGTTTGGGAGCCAAGCGCTCAGGGGACTTGTCCTGCAGTTAGGGCTGCCGGAGGCTGCAATCCTCTTACCTGCGCTCCTGGGGTGGCTGTCACGTGACGAACTGCTGCGGTGGGGCTGGAGGTTGGGGCTGGGCCACTCCGGAGGGCTGCTATTCCGGGGTGGAGCCAAATGTGATGACTCGGCTAAATCTTCCCAGTCCCGAATTTCTAACACACAAAAAGGGAAATTAAAAGGTGAAGCAGCGTCTGWTCAGGATAACGGGGCAGCACAGAGCGTGGGAAAGTGAGATTCGAATGGGGGTGGGGGGATCAAAGTGTGTAAGATCGCGAGGTGGGGGCGGGAATTGCCCCGAATGACACCGACGACGACGTGGTTGGTTATGTCCTTTCGGTCCCCACACTGTGATGAGGTGTTTYTTCTTCCCTCTTGCTGTGCTTTCCCTTTATTCTTTCCTCTTGTCCGGTCTCATCCCCACTTCGTCCAGAAAGGACAGCAATTCTGAGGACCTTCCCCTGCACCAAATGACACCGCGCTGCCCAGCGACGTTCCCTCGTGCTGCCACTAGATGGCGCCATCACTCAATGCGCGGCTTCCCCGCGCTGTGGCCGCGGCCTTCCCCACACAGTCCCCTTAGAGCCGCGTTTAATTTAAGAATGGGACGCTGTGTTCCACGCCAAGAGCACCACTGTGACTGACAACTAAGGCTTTAACCGCTGACGCCCTTCCTGCTCCTGGAGCACCATACATCTCATTTAAACTCTCAGTAATTTAAATGGTTTATTGGTAAAAACATAAAAACKTGGGTCCTACAACCCCTGCAGACCTTAGGAGCCCTCTGTGTCATCATTCCACCTTCCCTGAGCTTTTTCATCACTGCATAAATCTATGTGTCAATAATTATTTATTATTTGGTTACATCATGTTGGTGAATGTGAACAATATGTCCTAAAAGAAAAAGTTCTGTTTTCAAAGAACAAGGAGCTTATTGTTAGGCTAATAGGTAACACTAAAGAATACTCTCATGGTTCAAATCTTGACGTAAATACTACAAGGACTGTCCCATTTGATTCTTGCAACAAATCAAGGTAAGAACTCTCCCTACCATCCCCATTTTAAAACTGGTGAAACTGAGGCACAGAGATATAACCTTGTCCAAGGTCATGCAGTTCATTAGGGGCAGAGTTAGAATTCAACCACAGGCACGGTGATCCCAGACTTGGACTTAGCCAGGACGCTATGCAGTGGACCAGTTTGGAAAATTCATTTAGGAAATAAGGGAACAAAAATAAACCAGAGAAATACATCAGAGTAAGGTAAAGAAACTCAGTGCTCCAGAAAAAAATAAGAATAATGAGGCTAAAACAAAACCCTTTTTGGAATGGGCTCCAAGGGCACCACTGTTGACTTTAAAGGATGCAGTTTCAATAGAGTGACGGAAAAGGGAAGCTACACTGCCAAACCAAGGGGCCACAAGGAAAGAGGAAATTGAGATGTCTCCCTGCAAAAGGAAAGCAATAAATAGACTAGAAGAGACTGCAAGGTCAAGGAAAGGCATTCTGATTTTCTCGTGTGCTTTAAAAATAGAATAAAGCCTGGGCATGTTTGAGATCAGTGGCAGGAGAGCATTAAAATGTGCCAAGTGGTGACAGTGTAATAGGAAAATATGGAGGGAGGTGTGAAGGGTACCGGGGAAAGGGTTAGCCCTGGGCAGGAGGAAGAGAGAACAAGYCACAGAAACAAAGATGCATCAACATGAAAATGAGAGTTCACATGGAGTTMCAAGTTCAGTTTTTCCAAATTAGCCTTGATCTTTTTGGTATAACCAGAGGTGGGTTCTGCAAGAGTGGGAAAAAGACATAATCCCAGCTGGGRACGTAGTTCARTGGTAGARTGCTGCCCAGCAYGAGACCCTGGGYTCAATTCCCAGACTKGGAAAAAAAAAAAAAAAGACRTAATTCATGTGCTGAATTGATCCATGTAGTGCTTAAAATCAAAACAGGAACAGAGGAGGCTAGAGAAGGGACATCCACTCTGTGACTGTGAAGATTCTCTGTGAAATCTCACAYCCATACATGAGCAGAAACACACTTTTTTCCTCCCTAGTGCTGTGAATCAAATCCAGGGCCTTGCACATGCCAGGCAAGCACTCTACCACTGAGTTATACCCCAGCTCCTACAGGAACGCTGCTAATACCCCCTTCTTTCTAATATTACTTTGTATTCAACTTTGAAGACATTTGACACAGAAATCAGAGAAACAGTGTCTTCTCTACTGATAAATGGGAAATCCAAGGGGGAGAGTTTCCTAGTTTGGCTTAAAGCCATGAAGGAAATCAGGGCCAGAACTAGAGTTGGTCTCCAGGAGCCCTCCTGGCGCTTAGAGTGGCCTCGTTTCAGCCCTCTCACAACCTTCTCATGAGTGACATGGGTAGAACTGAAATGGCCCCAGAGTGTTCCAGACACTGTACCAACCTAAGGAGAATCTGAAATCAGGGCACAAGGCCCAAGAGAACCTAAGATTCTCCTTAGGTGGCCTTAGGCTATAGCACAGTTCTTCTGGGAATAAGAGAGAAAGTTTCTTGAATAATTTGATTGCCACATATTGTTGTACTGATGACAGGACGTCCTTAAAAGTAACACATCATAGTGATTTGATTTAATTGTTTAATGSTTTTCTTTCATCCTTTTGAAGGATTCCTCTTTGTCAGAGGTACCCCAGGGCTGATGCCACTGAGCCTGCATCCTGACAAAAAGGGTAATAGGCAGAACTAAATCCATCAACAATCCACTTGCCATTTAGACTTGGGAAATAGGGCCAAGTGACAGTCACCAATCAAAGACATTTCTCTTCAGTTCCACGACTGTCAAAAGCACCTCCTTGTGTGAGTATGCTTTGTTTGCTCTGGAAACTTGTCTAAAAGTGAGAGGTTTGTCTCCTCCTTCTCATTTTCTCTCAACAGATATCCCCAAGTTAGGCCAAACCTTGTCTTGATTTTCATTTCTAAAAAGAAGTCAAGTCAGGGGCTGGGGTTGTAGCTCAGTGGTAGAATGCTTGCCTAGCATGTGCAAGGCCCTGGGTTTGATCCTCAGCAACACACATACACACACACACACACACACACACACACACACACAAACGCGCGCACGTCAGCTGCCTCCTTGGCCAAAGATTGGGAATGCCAACTTCCATCCATTCATCCTCCAAATGTTCATTGGGATCCTACCTCTATCGACAGCAGGCTCAGCAGGTGGGATCAAAGCTCAAGGGTCCCCCAAAGAGAACTGACCAGGAGAGGACTTCACACTGGGCCTTATCACAGGATAGTGGCAAGTGCCACAGAGAGTGCTGATAAAGAGCCTTTAGAGTCAAAGGGCAGTCACTCAGGAGAACCTTCACGGGAAATGCACATCTGTACCTGGGCTGAACAGAAATAGTTTGGCACCAAGAGACACAGGAGAAAAGCATGGAGGGAAAGGTGGGAATGTGGAGGCCATCTAAGCACCCACTGTCGAGTTAACCCTGATAAGCCCCAGAACCTGCTGGTTCCCTGACTCTGCCTGGGCACGTGGACATCCCTGGCAGGCTCTTCTTGAACTTTGTGCAACTTTCAATTCCCACTGCTCCATGCATGGCTCATTTTGTTTTTTGCTTAGAATCGAACCCAGGGCCTCGCACATGCTAGGTAAGCACTCTGCCATTAGGCCATGCCCCCACCCATGAATAGATTTTAAATAAAACAATGGTATTTTTTGCTTCGAATTTTTAAATAAAATTCATGTCACAGGAAAAAGTACTGGGCTTGCTTCTCAATTTCAAACATGCCCTAGCAGGGGAAAGCAGAAGTCCCCTTGACCCTGGTCTCCTCCCTGCAAATACAGTGCAACAAACTCTAGGAACAGAAAGCTGCTCTCAGTTGTTTCCTTGCCCCCCCCCGCCCCCATGTGGCTGCTCTGCCGTGTTTTCTGACCTCATTACGTGACAGTCACTCTTAGTAATGGAATGCAAGAATGATTCCAAGCTCTTCCTGTGACCTCTTGGCTTGAGGTGATCTCTGAAACGATTCACTGCTTACTTGGCCCAGAAAAGCCCACAAAATCAAGCCATCAAGAGGTTCAGATCTTCAAGTCCCCTGAAAAACACCCAGAAAACTTCCCACCCAGGCCATTACATTTCTAAAAAGACCACCAAGTAGGGCTGGGGTTGTAGCACAGTGACAGAGAACTCACCTAGCATGTTGGAGGTCCTGGGTTTGATTCCCAGCACAGTAAAAAATAGATAGATAGATAGATAGATAGATAAAGGTTAAACAAATTTAAAAACCACCAAGTAACTGAAAGCAGTCACTTCACAAAAGCAGTGGGTGCCCCTCTGTCACTCATTATGATGGTGGAGTTGAAAGCAGAGCTGGCACAGGATCTCAGTGACCCAAAGAGAGTGCTGAATTTTTGCTGCACATGCTTAAAAATCACAGGAATAATGGCCTTCCTGGTTAACTGTAGATTCTTTGATTCCTGAGCACATCCAGGTGAACCAAGCCCCTCCCCCCAAGGTGTACACAGTATATACAGAGGGCACTGTCAGATCCATCCACCCAGGAGCTTCCTCTGCCATGTTGGCATGATCTTCACCAAAAAGGAACAAACTTCCTCAGTCAGGGGATTGCACAAAAGAAACAAAAATGACTCCCGCCCCCGGGCAGGGGGGAAGATATTCCAGAAGAAACTTATGGCCCAGGAATAAATCTAGTATAAAATAAACAGAAAGGATAGTTGCTTTTTAAAGAAAAGAAATTCAAGCTGAAATACCTTTTTACAGTAATTATCTCCATAGCTTCACCAGTATTCCTAATTCCAAAGAGTAATCATGGACTTATGTAGACATTTTTTCAACCTGACTGATTCAATCTATAGCCATCGATCAACTGTGTGGCACAGAAGTGTTTAGCAGAAGGGGTGAGATCCAGAAAATGTTCTGTGCCGTCTTACCTGAGCTAGGCGACCAGTTGCTGAGTGTGCCTGGCTTGTCCGTCTGTGCTCACCCTGATGGAAAGCAAATGTAACTAATGCCAGGAACATYACTGGGCTTTAAAGAAGCTCGTGGTCCATTGTAAGCTACGTTTTGTCCTTGAAGATGAAACATCGAACAGATTAGAGTTCAAACACATAATGAGACCATTTTAGGCAATCCGCCCCCTGATAATTGCTAGAGATACATAATATGTCTTGCAGTTTTGCAAACGTATGCTTCTCACAGCACATTTCCTGTTTCCTTCAGAGTCCACAGAAGCCATGGGAGTCTGGTGGTGGACGAGAGCTGGATGAGGACACAGCGCAGGAGAAGGCAAATGGCCCCTCAGCCATGACTGCCTGCACTCTSATCTCTGCTTTTGACATCCCAGAGCATTGTTGTGCTGTGGGTCATTTTGTCCTCCCAGACTTGGGAAGGGGATCCTTCTCCTGCTGTAACGTAATCCAAGCCTGGATACAAAATAAACTAAGAACACTGTCGTGAGAATTAGCGCTGGGAAAGGAAAGTTCCTCTCCCCTTTCTAGTCCATCTTCAGGGAACTTGATT